GTAGAGGTAATGGTAATTGATATACAGTAAGAAATCCTTTACCCTCCAGTAACGAGGAACGATGCTTATTAATTTTATATCAGTTACCGTTACCTCTAGTAACGGAGAACGCTGGTAACGGTAACTGTCACAGCCCTAATCTCAGTTGAGACGTTACGCTTGAAACATAATTCCACAGACTTTTCTTAGGGTTATGGAACTTTTTGTTCGCTTGATTAAATGTTAATTTAGCGGCAAAGATCTTATATGTTGAAAGTTTCAGCTTTATAATGCCTAGTTTCCTTGGAGAACGGACTCCTCAAAGGTAGAGGAGATGATAAATGTACCGATATTTTACAATGTTTCCTCATTGATTTTTGTGAGCAGGTAGTCGAGTTTGATCAGTTCTATAAATATTGAACGATTGCGAGATACTTTGTATAAACTCAGAGACATATTTGATAGAACTGTTCTGAGTTCACTTTCATCCAAAAAATTAAATTTTTATATTTCATTCGATTCAATGAATGTGCTTACAATCTTGCCCTATATTAGAAAACAAGCATGTGCATATAGAAAACATTTGTACCACCCATTGAGCACTCCATTTTCAAGTGGTCGATATTTTCAAACTAAAACTTTAAAAATGAAAACAGAAAAAAAGAAAAAAGAGAATACTGATCATTTTTAACTGAAAGCCCAACATACATGTTTCAACGAAAAGCAACAATAATCTTTTCTGTATGTGGCATCATTACAATTGGAGGTTTCGCTGGTGGAGTTGCTGCGGGCATTTTTCTCAAAGGTAACAGAAATCGTGAGATCGTAGTCAACAATGAATAGATAAATATTCATTTTCTTCTAGGTTATGCTTTGTTTGGTGCTATTTTTGGCTTGATTGTCATGATAATTGTACTCTTGGTCCTTGTTACTGTACTAACTGCACTGCAGGTTCGTTGTAAAATTAAGCACTAAAATAGAAGATTATTTTTCAATCTCGTTTTAAGCATTCAAATCGAGTTGAACATGATTCTTTGAAGATTGAACATATTATTTTAACAGAGGGGTACGTAATACTATTTATATATTCTCAAACTACGATAATTTCCATATACATTTGTATTTGTAGGAGAAATAGAAGAAGATCATATCTGATAATTTGCGCCGGTTTAATACTTTCCGCTGTGGGATTATTAACCGGTATAATTTTACAACTGTTCACAAAAACTTCATGTAAAATTTAGTGAAGATATATATTCTTAAAATAACATTTGTTTTTATTTTATTCTAGCATTATATATCAATCTTATTGAAATCGCTTCATTTCTCGGAGCCATATTAGTCTTATTAATTATTATATTATTAGTTCAATTGATTCCGTGTAAAAGTGTAATCTCGTTCTGCTTATTAGTTCTTTCACACTCATTACACTTTTTGTTGTAAATTTAGAATAAACGTCGGCAAGATTTATTATTTGAAAATGTTGTACATACTCCTGTAGATTCGACACCACCAGCAAAATTGGAACGTTCCTATGCTTTATATAAAGGAAGAGAGTCACCAGTACCGTCAATCACAACAAATCGTTTATCCCAACGAAATCAACCTGCAAAAAATTCTGATTATCGATCAGCTGATTTAAATTCAAAGCGAACGAATGCAGCACCGTCGTTATTGAATAAATATAATCAAAGAACACCTGTATCAGACATGAATTAAGTATTTTTTTAAGTAATAATCCACCGTATTACATTCAACCGGATAATAATACACAAAAGCAAAAATATCAACGATTGCTTCAAGACGTATCGCACTATCGCGTAAACGAAAAGGTTTATGCATTGAATTCTATTAATGAATATGAATTGGCTACAATAATTCATGCAGATGGTAAGATGTAATTTTTTTTTCGACTATCTGAATCTCGAGCATAAAGTAGTGACTTTTATATTGTGAGTTAGTGGAAAATATCAGAAATGATTCTTGTTTGCAGAGATTGAAGACAAGAGATGTACACACAATAATAATTTGTCATTGAAAATCCTTGAAATTTTTTTACCACTGAATACTCTTAATAGAGAATTTCATTCTATTTTTACAATACAATTCATAGTATTTGCTAGATCTCTGAGAAATGCAAATGCTTATATTTCTATGTTTGACCTTATATTTTAGTTATGGGAAATTATGATGTTCAGATGGAAGATGGACGCATGGAATACAGACAACCTCACACACTTAGAAAAGCGCTACCGTTTATTTAAATAACAATGAAATTCTTTATATTGGTCTGACATATGTTTTAGCTACAAATAAACAAAAAAACAGCCAACAGTGTCAATCTTCTATTATAAAAATACTTTTTATTAAAGAGTGAAAATAGAAGATAAAAACCCCAAATAAAAGCAACATGATATATAATGTACAGTTTTTTGGCATATTATAAATATTAGTATAAAAAATAAAAATTGTCGGCCTTCACAAGACTTTTCTCAAGTTAAGCTAGATCAGAAAATTTCCTTTGGATGCTAAAAGATAGAGAATTCTGCGTAGATTTTAGTACTATATTTCTAATGAAATAAATATTTGTCGTTTTTCTACAGTATTAAAAGTGCTAAAAGCCATAAAAATCAGAGTTGCTCAGCACTTTGTATAGAATAAAGTGTAATTTTTAGTATCCAAACTAGTTTTATTGCGCGATTCAAACTAGACATTAAAAACTAGAATCAAGTCTTAATATTTTAGGTACAAAATCAAATTTTAGGGCAATATTTAACGGTCATCAAAATCGGTTACAAAATATGCCTCTTTATCAAGGTTTTGGCGTTTTTCATTGTATAAGTCAATATCATAACTTCGTCATTTTATTATCACAGACAGTAAACCCATGAGAAGAATGACGTCTATTTTGCATCTGCTCATATTAAAAAAATAATTTTTGCTCGTCAATGTTTGCAAAGCACCGCCAAAGAAACTCATTAGTCAAAGATGTTTTCTAATGTTTTGAATATTAGAAAGCAGAAACAAATAAATCTATAGGAACAAACGTACCATCGGATACATCGAGAAATTCTGCATCTTTTAATATTAAAACCAAATTTTTTACATTTATCTAGTTGAACAAAAATTTGTTTTCAAAACTTTCAAATTCTTCAGTTGAGCAATCTCTACTTTTTATAGTTTCAGCACTTCTAATGCTGTCGAAAAACGACAAATATTTATTTCAAAAGAAATATATGATTAAAATCTACGCAAAATTCTCTATATTTTAGCATCCAAACGAAATTTTCTGATCAAGTTTAACCTGAGAAAAAAGCCTTGCGAAGGCCGACAATTTAATCTGAACCACCCGTTAATATGACTCAATTGAGATTAAAAACAAAATGTACATATAAACCTTAGTTTACAGTATAAAAATGATACTTGAAGCGTTATAATGATAACTGGAACACCGGCTAAAGTTGTAATGAGATTTTAATCGATAAAAACGACCATTTGACATATATTAGTTAATCACAATTCAATGTTTTGGTTATCAATGATTTTATCCTCTAAATACATTTTATATGTTTGTTCAACGTCAATATTTTCAAATTTATGAAAACTAATTGGTTGTTGATGTTTTAACCAATCGTTTGAATAAGCTGTTGTTTGTGCCTGATGAAATTCATTCACATGTAGAATACGAATTTTTAAACGTTTTAAACATATTCCAATAAACATATCATCAGGAGTATCAGGTTGTGGACAAAGACAGTTTTCAATTAATAATTCAACAGTTGGCCGATTGAATATAATACCTGAACCGGCTGTTGGATAATCATAAGATCCATAACCATATCGTTCTCCTAATATCACTGGTACATCGTCATTTAACATGAAACATTGAATTAGACTTAATAAACGTGTTACAGAGAGTAATGTATCATCATCTACTATTATCAAATATTTTTGTCTTGTATCTACACTATTATTGAAATATTTTAATATTGAAAATGTTTTATGACAATGACCATAAACAGTATTTTCTCCATCAAGTACGAGAATATTTTTTAATGATGAATCGTATTTATTACTAAATAAATTATAATTTAAATTATTTTTTAACCATGTTTTTTTCAATAACGATACACGTTTATGATGATAATCAAAAAATGTCTTGATACCAAAATAGAGATGATTTAATCGAATATGAGATGACTGACAATTATAAATTGACCAATCATTCCATGTTAGACATGATGATGGTAATGATGGACGATGTTGATTACAAAATAAATTCGATTGATCTAAATATTTAATACTTGTTAATTGTTCAATAATGTCTACTAATTCATATTTAATATCAATTATAAAATCAATTTTATTTGAATGTGATGGAAGTTTATCGATAAATGTTGTCAATAATTGTCGAGAGAAAAGAATACCAGCTGCCGGATCTGGATAAGCTTTTTTTGAAAATGAATAATGATGAATTATCGATGGTTCTGTATCATAGAGTGCATGACCGACAAATGAGAGATTCGCTAATGTTCGTGAATAATCTACTAATTTAATTAAATCTATACGCGTTTCTATTTCACAAACAAATAAAAATTTCAAATGACTATATTTTGTTAAAAGTGTGGAAAATATTGGATATATTGTATACCAATTTGTTACTTTAGAAGCATAATCATGACTATTAGTCATTGATAGTCTTATGTTTGGGTATTTTTGAATTAATTCATCTTGTTGAGAACGAATTAAAAGTGTAGAATTATGTAATTTAGATAATAAGTAAGCATGTGGTTGACTTAAAAATAGAATAACAAAATCTTCATATTCTTGTTGTTGTTCAGCATTTGAGCGCAGTGAAATGGAAAAGAAAACAAGACAGACGAGTTTTAAAAACATCAGATCTAAAACATATAACTATACGTAACAGAATGTTCTTAAGTCATCTCTGCTACTATAAATATTTTTTTTCTGTACTATATAGCCGATTCAAACTAAACGTTCAGAGATTACAGTTCATCATATGAACAGAAAAAGATAAAAATGTTCACTAATCATTTAAAACCACCGTTGGAACCACGTTGTTGGAATCAAAGTTACAAAATGGCACATTTAGCATTGTACAATGACGTCATGTTATTGCTGTTAACTGAAACATTTGACTCTGACTTAAATTAAATTAGACACTAAATTTAAACCTCATTGATCAACAGTCACGTCAAAACTGATAGCGACAGTGAGTATCCGTTAGCGAATGTTAGCGTCTAGCAAGAAATGCTTATAATTTTTTAATACAACATTGGACAGAGTTGCACCAAATCTTATTTTGAGGGAAAACGTCTTCTCTACAAATGGCGATGATCAGTCTGGCCGGAAGACCTTTGGAAGACTGTTCGGACAGTTTTTTTCCGTGATTTAATGTATTTTTCGAATACTCCGAGTTTTCTTAGAAATGATTCTGGAATTCTTTTAACAAATGCATTTTGTAGAGCAAACATTTTTCTACAAAATTAGATGTTTTACAGCTCTGAGAGAATCGTGATAACTGATTTATAGCAATTCTCCCGGATGCCCCAAAAGGTCTTCCGGCCAGACTGATCATCGCCAAATCTAAATATTTAGATAAGAATCGATGAAGCGTAGGGTGAGACAAATATTAGGAGTTGACAATTGAATGTCTTGGGTCTTTAAAAAAATTTTGTAAAAATCTTTTTCTGTAATCTCCTAAAACAACTGTAGATTATGAGGCAATACAGATGCTGAACATGCACACTTTAGGTTATACGGTAGATAAGTATAGTGAAAAAGCGAGCTTCGGTGAAAAAAATTCTTTTCTTAGGTTGTAACAGTTTCTCGAAGAAATGTGATTCAACAACTCGCAATTTTTACTGATTAAAAGAATGAAGATCGTGTTAAATCTTGAGATAGACTTTTAGGTGTGCAGGCGAACATGGAAAACTGTGTATTAGTCAATTTTACGCGCCAACTACGGACTAAAACCCTTGCATTATACAATAATGTTAAGTAGACAATGAATGCTGATACTGCAATACCGTTTATATCTACCCAACGTCGATTCGATTACTCAGGTCTGCATCCACGAGTAAGAGAAACTCTCAACACACATCCAACTGGACAATCAAAATTGTTGAATGCGTATAATCCAAATGATAATCTTTCATGCTCAAAATATGAACAACTAAGTCTCTATGATCGACAATTAAATACAGCTCTCTTCAAACGTTTGCATGCCACAAACTTTACATTAATACCGAAAACGTTGGTTAAACAGTTGGGACCAGGTTCATATAATCCACTGACTATTGATGAAATATATCAGAAGAAAACGTGTAGAAAGTTTGGTCCGTATTATCAACGATCAAATCGATTTCCATCTACATACAAGAACACAATAAGTCCATCGTGTATCCGACAAGCATTATTTTACAATATCAACAATCGTGGTAGGTCAAATATGGAGCAGCTTGAACGTAAGAAAAGATTGAAACAAGCCGGAGAAAAAAAGTTGTTCGAGCGACGGTTTAACAGTGTTCGTCTCGATTTACAAAATAAAAATGGGTGTTATGAGCGACAAGCGTTAATGATACGTGCTCCACCAGTGACGTTGTATGAAAAATCCAGTTTTATCGATGAAGTATGTAAACAAACAGGAATTTACGGTCCGTTTGTTCAGTTCGCCAATGAACGAGATAAACCGATTCCAACTGGACGATTTGCATCGAAACGTGATTTCAGAGGACCAGGCAAGCAAAGTTTAAGTTTGAATATATTAGATGATTTATTTTCAAAACATAACAAGCACAAAGGTGCCTTTCTACCTAAACGTCAAAATGAGTCCAATATTATACCGGGGTTCTTATCACCGCAAGCTCAACTGATCTGTCGAGGGCCGACAGTCTACCATAACGACGGTTTATCGGATCAACGTATTTGTTGTTCTCGTTTACGTACCCTCAACAGTCAAAAACAAGCACAAACACCTGGAGTTGAATCACAAGATGGTGGTGACCGAAAAGCAAGCCGGCTGAAAAACGCTGTGAATATAGACAATGAATCAAAACAAATCGGTTTTCTATCATCTACAGAACGTTTTCGAAAAGCGAAAAATTTATTAAAACCTGGACCGTCTACATATTCGCCAGAAAGATGTATTCGACCGTGCAGTAATAAAAAGTTTGTCCGAGATGAGTTTTTAAATCAACAAAAACCTTTAACAATAGCAGTCTAAATTTTTAGCTTTTTTCCTGTCACTATACACAAAAAGTCATTAAATAAGAATAAGAGCGATGAAACTAACGTTTTTTTCTTTTTTTTATTTATAGGCAAAAGTTTTAGAGAGATTAAATCCTAATGAAAGAATCTAATGTTAAAGTTTGCTCAGAACAGTTGAACAAAATTTGATTGGACTGTATTGACCATATTGCACTTACCAAACATTTTTCCCCTACAACGAGCTGCTTACGCCATCTGGAGACATAATTTATGCGTCTTTCTGTTTACAATCTTATCAGCAAGAAAAGTACAAAATCAGAAATTTCTGTTTTTCGATCAAATTTTGCTTCCACTAAGTATTGATTACTTTTTATTTCGAAATAAACAAACTTTATACACAAAAGTGCTGTAATCATTCCCAAAATAAAATAGCATTTGGTTCTATGTACTAGAAATGACACATATTTCTGATATAGAAAAATAAACACAGTTTCTCAATATGTATACCTAAGTAGCAAGATAAGTTCGAAAAAACTTACAAAAAGTTAAGTGTAATGATTGTTCGGCAAATCACCATTTATTCCGAAAAAAAAATGACTTATTTAACTAAAAACTATCGTATAATGATTGACGTCTCTGATGAAAAACAAATCTGTTTATCTTTGGTTGTACTCTTTTAAAGAAAAGACTGCAAAATAATGGTGGAAGTTTCAGAAAAGTTTTAGGAGGAAACAGTTGTCAATAAAAGTTTTTTTATATATGAAATGACATTTTAAAAAGGAATTAAGTTTTTATTTTGCTCGCCAGTTTTTGGACTTGGAAGGAAGTGGAAGCATCTTGAGAAAGTGTAATTGAAGAAGAATTTTCGGAAAGTGAACATTCCAAGTTGGATTGTGAAATTCGCCACTGCAAGAGGAGATAGATAGCTTTTAAGTCTAATAGAAAAAAGTTCTTTTTAAACCTTAAATGACTGTCATAGTTAATGGTGAATAAATAAAGAGAAAAAGAGAAAATCATCAATTAAACGAATGATAAGGTGTACATATGAGTGCATCTGATGAGATAAGGAAGATGAAACATTCAAGACATCCGTATCTCATACTCAAAGAATGAAGCAAGTGAGATAAAGAAGTTTTTGCCTCATTCAGTGAAGCAAAAACTATCTTTTAAAGTTAAGATGATAATATCGGTAGCCGAATGTTAATATCTGACAGCTGTAGAAAGGCAGATGACGCATGTTGGCAAGAAATAAAATTTTTCTCTACAATACACCATTCATACTTGCACTCGAATAGTAGCCAGCACCTGCTGTTGTACTGCTAGTATTACTCGTACTGCTGGTATTAAATGCATTAGTGAAATATTGTTCATACTGTGTTATGGCTATATTCGGTACAAACCAATTTTCTACCAGCGTATAAGTTATATCATCATAGTTTTTTCGTTCGTATGTAATATTTGTATGTAACAATTTTGCTTCGTATTTATTCAATATTGCCACAAATTCATCGTGATTGAGTATTTTTTCAAATGGTAAATAAAAATAGTCGTCCCAATAACCGGTTGGCAAACCAAATTTTCGTGCTTGTTTTGCTAATAATTGTCGTTGAAATTCATTCCATGGTTGACACGATATTACTTTATCTTCATTTGGAAAATTGCATTGACACGATATTGATGGTTCGAGAGTTTTAACAAATTTTCTTGCTACTGATTCTAAACGAAATAGTCGTAGAACTTTAACGGGTCCGATAATTGTCAAAATTTTTCCTTGATTTAATTTCGATATCAGCGTAAAATAAAGCCCATCTAAAATTTGTTTTTGTCGTTCATTCATTGTGTTTATACGATTTTCAATCTCTGTAGTTAATGATTCAATTTGATAAAAATCAGCTTCGTGTTTTAGTTGTTTCAATTCGTTAAAGTTATCAGGTAAATTCAATGTTTTATCACGCAAATAATTCAAGACATAACGAAATATTGAACCTAAAACACCAACATATCTCAAGTAAGAAACTTATGAATTTCCTAAACATATCTTAAGAGAATCCTACCCGATCTTCACTTAGAATTTTGAGGATCCTAACAAAATCTTACAGAATCCTGTTGAAATTAGGGATACCTGAATGTCTCACGGCTCTGTTAGGATCTTAAACAAACCTGAGCAAACCCTTTGTATAATTATAACATATAAGATCCTGCTCAGAAATTATTAGAACGTTCTAAATATTAGAATCCTAGGTAGAAAACAAATTGAAAATGTATATGATCTTCTCTAGAGATACGTATAATTAATATTTTAAATAGCATATCAAGTACTCACCATCACGATCAATAAAATAACGTCCGTCTTCGTCACGTTTTGTTGGCAGATTGTTATTGTCAGCGATCATTGATGCCAACATCGAGCGTGGATAACGATTAATTGTTGAACGAGATGTACAATAGATTTTTCCACCAACATTGAATGTGACGATGTCGGATGTGGTTTTAGTTGGTAAATGAAGAGAAGAATGGGAGAGACAACGTGGAGATGGAGTTGGAGCGATATCTTTCAGAGAATCAGACTGCATTCTAGATTGTCGCTAATTCAAATGACCTAGAAAGTAGAATAATAAGACTTGCACTGCGAAAAACGTTTTGTCTTTGAAAAGTCTAAAATTTCGATTGAGAAGTTTATTCCATTGTTGAATAATCATTTGACTGCTGTCAATACTAATCGATTGATGCAATATTCCCGCAGTTCTATAAAAAGTCTTTCGTAAAAGGATTCTTCCTCCCAGGTGCTTCTTTTCTATTTCTTTTCTTCTTAGTGATGTTTTTTCTACTCTTGTCACACACTATTTCCAGTCGTTTTCTGGTTTTCATCTTAGATTAGGAGAGAAAAAATATTGTGAATATCACCTGTTTTTTAAGTTTTTTTAAAAATCCAATAGAAAATAAATAAATAATTTTCTGTTACATCCATCAACAATTTACTCAATTTTAGATATTACGTACTTACCGATCTCTAGCATCAGTATTCTGTCACATACTGGAAAGATTATATATACTCTCACGTTCTCAAGAAAAACGGCGAGAAAAACGCTTGACAAATGCTTGATGTCATTATTTTCCTTATTATTTTTTCTTCGCTTATGCTTTTTTTATTAGAGAAACGAACAAAAAAAAAAAAAATCCTTATTTAGATTGTTGTTGTTTTTTTTTATGCCACACATATAGTATCTACTAGATTTGAAAAAAAATATTAATAATAAATGGAAACACGTCATCTCTTTCTAGCCCAATTAGAGAGAAAGAGAAAGTATCATGAAAACTTTTTCTTTCTTTCTTTTGGCCGATGTGTTCCAAGGAATATCATAAAAAAAAAAAAGGTTTTCCAAAGTATATTTTTTTTTGTTAGACAACAGGAAAAATATATTTGTGTTCATTATAGATTAAAGACAGAAAAAAATATTCTCATATCTAATATTTACAGATATTTTGAATTCTAGTCAAGTAATTAAAGTATCAGCTATTCATCAATACAAAGGATTTTTTTCATAAGCTTCGGCTCAACAACACAAATTTATTTCAATAACAAAGAATATTAAACAACAAGTCACCTCTTAAAGAGTTATCTTTAGGTACAAAGATGTTGATCATGGCAGTAGATATCAGATGATTTGTCATGCACCAGTCAGTTAACACGGTTTGATGCCTATGGACAAAGATAAATGCTTTAAGATAGTACAAATATCTGAATCGTTTCGTTTCGGTCACTATAATCTTAAATATAAAAAAAATAAATTTTGAAAATAAGTGTAACTGACATACGTATCATTTGAAATTTCATAATTAGTACAAAAGTCAAAAAGTATTTATTATTATTTACTAAAATATTTAAATATTTTTCTCTTTTATAGTACACCTTTTTTTTGTTTTTTGATGTTCGTACTGACATATGATGCAAATATTTGTCTACAAAATCAGACCTTTTGTAAATCTCATAGATTTATCTTAACTAAATGAAAACATTTTTCTTGTGAATGTCTCAAAAAAAAATAATTAAACAATTGATTTATAATTAGTGCATACCTACGTATGATTTTCAGAGTGTACATTTTTTTTTGTTAGACTCTTTTTGCATTTAAGTAGAATTCTTCTAATAAATATTGGTTTTTAATACGCGCTATAAGAAAATTTTAAATTCAAACTACAATGATAGAATTTCTACACTTCATTTGAATATGTCGTCTGTTAGATGTAATAATTATTCATGATATATAAAATACAAGAAATAGTTACTAGAAATTACATAACAAAAGAAACAAAAAAAAAAAAATAATATTTTTTCTTCTTCTGTTTTATATAATTTCTGATTTCATCTTGTTCTTCTTTCGAAGAGTACTTGTTTGGAAAATTTCATTACAATAAAAGAATGTACATATATTTAGCTGATTTCAAAGTTTCTTCGGTTTTTTGTTTTTTTTTATCTCTAAATTGTAGAAGTTAGATGAACCGTTAACACATAAGTAGGAAAATGTCGACTCTTCAAATAGAAAATATTTTTTTTTAGATTTGATTAACGTTCATCAAAAATGCGATTAAATTATACATACGATCATCTTTCAGTAAAACTAACATTTGTAAAATAGTCAGTGAATGAGAATGAATAAAGGAAGGCATACTTCCGATACATACGAAAAGTTAACAAGACAGAGAAAACATATTTGGTTTTTTGATTATGTTTCTAGAAAACGTGTATGTTGATCTCTTGTTGCTCATATTTTTTTATTGATACTTTAAGCAGACACTTTTACTATTTGCAAATATGCTTGATTAGAATGTTAATTTGTTTAATAAAAATGTTGTCTGGCTCAAATTCAGTCTATTTGTCTAGTATATGTATAACAATAATATTCATTCAACCATGCACACACAAAGCGTACGCAATAAAACGGTTTCTACTTATTTCAATGTTAAATACACACAACCTTGACAATCGATTATACTATATACTCTCAAAAATAAATTGTGAAGGTTTTTATTTTTTTTTTTTCAATTATTACTTTTGTCGTTCTTTTTCTTTGCCGTAAAGATGAAGAAGAAAGAAAAAAGACAAGACAGGGAAGTACTTTCTACTCATGGCATCATTTTTTTTTCTTCTTCTTTAACATAAGAATATGGAAGGCCAAACTGGTAGAATAAACCATGAACCACTTTGATTCCTTTTAGCACATATTTCTTAACTAATTACTCCTAAAACTATCATCAATAATATCAACGTTCAAGAATATATGTATGCGTGTGCTTCTGTCTATCATCAACGTCACGTAGACTAATAGATGATATGAAGTACACGTAATAAATACGTTAAATCATTCGTAACTAAATGACAAACAGAAAATCAAACATCTGCCTTGATTGCATCATAATTTGCCTTGTCTTGTCATGTATATTTTATATCGAAGACGTTTTTCTACATTTTTCAACTTAAAAATCTTCAAGAAACAGTTACAGTAAAGTTAGAGAAATAATATCAAGTTTTCTCAAAATCAATTTTAAAAAAATTGTTCATTATTCTTTATATTCAATTTTGTTCACATTTTTCTCACACTTCTTCAACTAGTTAGCACGTAATTCGAATAGATAGATTATCAGTTAGTCATATATGAACTGTAATTTTCTTATCAATCCACCTAAGTGGCATGTTCGACAGTATTGTAGGATGAACATACTATTCAATTTTTCTAAACAGTAATCATTTATCGATGTCTAAAAATTTGTACGCGTAACGATCGTCGTACACTGCAATTTTGTTAAATAACTATTTCTTTTTCATAGATTAATTTACTTGATAAATAAACATTTTTTTCTAAACTTGACTTGATGAATATTTTATTTTACTACCAAGGTTTTTAATATTATTACTAGCGCAAATTCTGAATCGGAAATGAAACAGAGAAAAGAGAAAAGGAGAACGGGAATCCGATAAAGTTCAAAATTATTTGACGGTAAAACATAACGAAAGAAAAAAAAAAAAAAGGTATTTCTTTAAAAGTTAATCATCATTTTTTAAGTTCGTTTCTTCCATCTAATAACACATTTTTCCATGATCAATTTCCGTAAAGCTCAACCTTGTATATGCTTCAAAAGTGCAGAAAGAAAGACGAAAGAAGGACACGAGAATATAGATATGACCTTGGATGGATAAGAAAAAAGATTTTCTGAAATATATGTATATCTATCTATATATATATACGCTATAAACTATCTATTCTTTTTCCGGTAACTGAAATGGAAAAAAGAACAACGGCAATCATACGAGAAGGTTATTTTCGTGATGAGAAAACTCATAAAATGTGTTGTGGTGGATAGTTAGACCAGACACATAGACACGTATTTAGAAGAAGGAAAAAAAAAGAAGGGAAAAACTTTAGGGAAGAAAGATATATAAGAGGAGATAATGTAAAATAAACAGAACACTGCTCAAGACAGATAGTTGAGAGTAAATGAGTGTCAATTTACATTTGAGCCTTTTCTTCATATGACAAGGTTAAATTGACAAAGAAAAATGATAAAATGAGACAACCACCGATTTTTACTTTAAAGTATGTTTGCATAATCCAGAACGCTAATGATAAAAGATATTTGGAAAATACTGATAATAACGATAAACTCTATAATTCTAGCTGTTTTACATCAAAGAAAAATCTGGAAACGCGTACATATTGAACTGAAATAAGAGTTCAGAACAAAATTGTTGGCTATTGGAGACTTGCATTACAACGCGACAAATGAAAAACAACTCAATTTTTCTCATTCGGACACAACTAATTATAGTTTAATATGAAATAACAATTATAAGTTGAAAACTATTTTGTCGAACACTGTGTAATGAAACTACTTATCAAACTACATCACATTCTATATTTGTATGATGGGAGTACAACAATTGCTTCTGGGAAACTTCATAAAGTCCTAATATCACGCTGTAGATATAAGATGAAACTCTAAAAGAAACATTCATACATAGGTTTAAAAATAATATCAAGTTTAAAACGGTCCAAAACAAGTTTTAGGCGTCATTACGGATCTTACACCGATATTTACGTTTAGGAGATCTAAGAACGATCAACTTGAAAAATCGTTGAGGTTAAATGGACTATATAGCTAAAAGATGATAGTTTCTCGTGGTATGGTTGAAAAGGAGAATTCAATTCTGCGGCATTTTTTAAAAACTCTATAGAACGCTTAAAACAAAATGAAAAATCAAACATGAGTGCGTGCGTCGCCATAGTGCGTGCGTCGCCGATTTATGTCCTACCTGTAAGCACAAAAACAGTTTTGTCAGATTCTCAAAAAAAAAGCATGAGATTCTTAATATTGTTGAGAATTTTCGAATTTTGTGTTATTTTGATCTCTTTCATTATGGAAGCAGGAGCTTCCACCCTATGGTACCCTACCTTTGAGGTAAATTGTCTCAAACAAAAGTTTGAGGGGGTACATTTTTGAAATTTTAATAATTGTTCATACCATGTAAGGAGTTAAATTTCTCCAATATCAAACATTTTTGCCAAGCAACTTCAATAGGTTACTTTTTTGGCATCTATCGATATATAAAACTACAAGCTAACGTTCTGAAAAATACACAGCATTTTGATGCGAAAGATGAGTTTGTCTTTTATATGAAAAGCGAAAGTATTTTTGGAAGTACAAAATGCCAAAGGGATCGATCATTCGCTTCAAACCTCTAGGAGGGGGAAGCTCCTGCATGGAAGACTCAAATTCCACCGACAGTCGGACTCTAGAAGTCTCGAAAAATTAGTTCACGTTTTAGGATCGGTCGCGTACGAATTGATACACACTTGACAAAATGGCCCTACCGCTTTTCTTTTGTTCTTTTCATGGTTTACAAATAGCCACTTAATTCAGAATAGATAGTTTCCAACTTTTGTTGTTGTTTCAGTATCTTTGTAACTTTATACAAGAAGAAGAGGCTCTGTTTGTAGACAAAAAATGAATACTGCACTATAATTACAAAAACAACTACTCATCATCGGTTTTGATTTCAAAGAAAGAAAAAAACAGCAAATGCGAACAACTATAAACATTTACGATGTACACGTTAAAACTGCACAAATTGATAACTGACTATTTTCTGTCGAGATTCCTGTTATAAAGTTGATGACTTTATGTGAATATAAAAACTTGCATAATTTCATCATATATCTCGAAAAAGTTTCACAAATACTCCACTGTTTCTTATCTATATATGGTAACAGAATTAATATTAAGAATATAGTACCATCGTTATCTGTGGAAATATGCAACTACCTTCTTGTCAAGGTAATTTGAAAAGACTCTCACATAATAAAACGATTAATCGTTATGTGAGTGACTGAAAAATCATTAGTAGAAAAAAAAATGTTTAGCTACGCTGGCAAACGGAGGGCTTGTACACGTAAAAGTCAACTTTTGCGTGAGTTCGTAACGTTTTGTGAAATGCATAGCTCTTCAGCCGAGCAACGCCCAGCGTTGGGGAACGTCTTATTTTGTAGCTTACAGATTTTTCTTTCAATTGGTAGCCAAGCAAAGTCTAGCAGCTGACTAGTTTAAATGACATAATATTTTTGGTAAACGCTACTTTCATGCAAAAGGGCTTGATTGGTGCGAATTATACGCAGATGTTTAGGTTAGAGGTAGACTTTGCGTAGTTACCATTTGAAAGAAAAAAAAAATCTTTAAGCTATAAATAAGACGTTCCCTAACTCTGTATGTTGCTCGGGTGAAGAGCTATGAATTCCACAAAATGTTACGGACTTAGTTTTTCTGGTTGGTACGCTTGGACAGGTCGCTTAGGCATTTACATCCAAGCAAAATCAACCTTTTATATAATGCATGTTTAAATGTTTATCTGAAATTTCTTTAGCTATGGTAAAGTCACAGGCGATGCATATTCTTCGCAAGATGGCCTATTTCATTGTTTCTGTAAATTACACCGGGTATGGATATTTTTTAACTACCCTAATAAACGCTAAAAATGGTTGGAAGAGGGAAAAACAATGTTGTTTGTATTGAGCAATAAAATAAGTTATTTTGTAGGAATCATATCAACATGAAGAAAAAAATAAAGGTCATTTAGAGTCGGGAAAAAATGCTTTTTCGTATTCTGTGCACTGGATAACCCTGAAGATGTTCTATTTTTAGCGAGAGGTACTATCAAAAGTTTAGGAAGACTTTTCGAATAAAATGGCGAAAAAAACTTTTATGGGAAAATAATATTCGTTTCAAAATTTTTCTTAAACTTTTGGCAGTATCCCTCACCAAAAGTAGAAAATCTTCGGGGTTATTGAGTATGCTGAATACGAAAGATTACACCTGTCTAAAACAAGTCAATATTTTAGTTAGACTCTTATTGTTATGTGGAACACTTTTTGCTCTTTCGAAAGATGTATTTAAAAACGGTTTTGTGTTCAATTTTAAGGTGAAAAGTCGACCCATATTGTATAAACCACTCGAAAACCATCGGTTAACCGCGATTATTTCAGCTGAAACCATAGTAACACAGCATAAAAACCGCCGACGCTCAGTTAATCGGAAAAACGGTCGGTTAACCGCGATTATCACCGGTTAACTGGGCGTTAACCATCGGTTTTTATGCTGTGTTGCTATGGTTTCAGCTGAAACAACCAAGATTTTTGAGCGGTTTACACAACATGGGGAGTTCACGTTGTATTTTTTGAAGTTAAATTTTCGAATGATAGAATGAATCTTTTTCTTGTTGAAATTCTCTATTTCAACAGTCACCCAAATATCATCGTTCTGTGAGGAATACACTGAGAAACTTTTGTGTTCAGATTGATCCGAGCATTTTTTATTATATGTTTTATTTTTTAAATGGTGGTATAGTCTCTTACGCCCATTTATTCTGCGCTGTTTTCACATATATTATAACGTAGGTGTTAGGGACCTGCACGGGCTAAGAAAACATAAACCGGATCCGATCCTTACATTAGGAACGGTTTATTAGTTCCAGTTCTAGCGAACGGACGCTACAATTCGTCTTGAATGAGAGAATATGTTCTTGCTGTTAGTACACTATGTATTTCATTAAGAAAATATATTATAAATATATAAAAAGCATAGAAGGCTAGTAATTAGCTGAAATAAACCTTGGGTTAATCGAGCAGTTCTCCCGTTCAAAAAGAACTGCAGTTCTCGTTCGCAGAAACTGAAACTAATAAACTGTTCCAAGTTTAGGAACAAAAACTGGAAAAAGTACCCGTTCGAAGAATGAAAGTCGTGAGCTGTCTGTCATAGACCTAGTATCGATGCAATATGAGTTTTATTGTATTCTTAAATTCTCTTATTTATTTTATGCATTGTTATCGCATCTCAACTTAAACACAATACAGCCCACAGTAGTTTAAGAAGAGAGCAAGAGCATAAATCCGCTTTTTCGAATAATTTACTATGCATGTGCTCATCTATTTCTAGCATGGAAACTTGAGAATATAGATATCTCATGAGACAGTAGATGTCACATATAGTCCAGAATATGTTTACTGAATTTCTTATGATCGAAAACCTACGTTCATATGAAAATATGGCTTTTTTATTGAAATATCACTGCATATGCAAAAATACATGTCGCATATATCTTTACATACGCTAATTGGATTCAGCATACTTAAAAGCCTATAATAAATTATTATTACATTTTCTTTTAGCATGACGAGATAATTAATAAAATTCGTTTTTCATTTCGTAAATTTGTTTCGCGTTTTTCTCAAGATCTCTTCTCGCGACTACAGCGTTTCGTACTTCCAAGATATCTCCGTCGTTTTTCGAGCTAGAAATTTCGGGTTGGTTTCAAAAAATAGAAAATGTTTTTTTCTATGTCATGATGTCGTTGGATTTTTCAATTTAAGTTTAGTTTAGGAGAAATTTGAAAAGTTTCCGAAAGTAAATAAAATCTCTGTAACTTTTCGAAAACTTTTTTAAATTTCTCCTAAACTAAACTTAAATTGAAAAATCCAACGACATCATGACATGGAAAAAAACATTTTTCTATTTTTTGAAACCAACCCGAAATTTCTAGCTCAAAAAATTATGGCGGAATCTTGGAAGTACGAAACCAAATGAAATAAATGATCAAATTTGCTATCAAAAGTTTTATTATACATTAAAAAGATAGTTAGATAAAAATCTATAATTAGCCCTGAATGAAGCGTGAAGATGACCTGATGCAAAAGTAAAGAAAGAATTAATTACATTAATTAATTTACATATTCACTGTGGGTACAAACATTTCTTCGCATTTTTTTGTTTTTTTGCAGAGATGTAACCAATTATCAATTAGATTTATCCGTTCTATGAGATGTTCTTGAAAACGTTTTATGTATCTTTTAGAAAAGATTCAATTACTTTTGTTAAATCTTTGATTTCTTTTTGACAATTTTCTTGTCAGTATAAAATGTGTATATACAAACAGCAATTACAGAGAAGAACCCGACAATACAGAAAAAGAATAAACGTCTTTTTTTTTTTTGTACATTGAAAATAAAAAAAAACACAAAGCAATGGAATAACCATACTTTCATCATTCTTCATTCAAGCTATTTCTTCAACTGTATTTAGAAATAAAATTTTGTGTTAGTATTCTTCATCTGTTATTTCAATTTTCCATTGTTGATAATATTTTTGTAAAATTTCTACCGTTTTTCGATGATCAGCTTTACCAAAACCCTATAAATATACACAGATATTATAATATGTTATGTTTTTTAGATAAATTTTTAGTTAGAACGTTACTTGTGAATAACCAAAAACAAATATTGTTTTTTGTGCTGGATCAACTCTTAAACGGCCTCCTCCAACACAATTTAATGTTAACTTGGTTTCATCTATTTTGTCTATTGCTTTATCAAGAATATCAGCTAGAAATCGAAAAAAAAAAAAATGAAAAACATCAAAGTACTTGTTTGAGATTTTTAAATAATATCCTAATCGAATTCATAGATTGTCAGAATTATAATGATTCAGAAAGCTATCTTATTGATTACTAGTCACATACAAGAGATAGTATATTATGTTTAACTTACCATGATAGGGTGATTCAGCGTCACCTCGAACAAGAAACTTCGGTCGTTGAAATGTTGGATCTTTGTCTTTAGCTTCAATTAAAATGTATCTAAAATTATAGTAAAAAATGTCTATGTCACATGAGAGAAATACAGTTGTTTTAATATAGCTTACTTAAATTTTCCAGCATCAGCAATTTCAACTTCTGGAATATCTTCAATTTTGTCTGTTTTACCCATTGTTTTTCCAATCGGTTTTTTATCTATCCAAACACGATCAAGATACAATTTTTCACGTAATTTTTTAGAAAAAGATCCTTTTTGATTTGAAGATAAACGATGGGGTAACAAATCCATATCTCTTTATTTTTAAAAACTGAATGAATTTTTCAATTTATTTTTCGTATACTTGATGACTTTTTTATTTTCAAATATGTGCAGACAGTTTATTAATGCGTATGAAAATCAGCCTACTTGTGAAAAAAATAGAACGCTTTTCTAAGAACACTATATTATTCATTTAAGCGTATCATTTTCATTACGTCTAGTTGATCATGTGCATAAGAAAAATATTGACGAAAAATATTTTTTAAAAAGAGGAAAGAAAGTTCACGCCCCTTTTATTTTTGTACTTAATATTGACGTAAAATATGTTATTTGATCTTAATTATATTTCATTTACAGCTAATACTGTTTAGCTGCACTAAATCTTTTGTCTATATTCAGTGCTGCAATATGAGCTATTATGACCTACATAAATATAAAAGTAGAAAATAGGCAATTAAAATGATTATACAACCAAAGTTTATTATCATTATATATATATATTAAACGAATAGTTGATGATATTATATTTAATTATTTACCATTAAATTGTTTCTCGCTATATTTTTAATACAGGTTTCTATAAAAAGCTCTATGGAATTAAGTTAAGGATACGCATGGTTACTTTTAGACTCAAGAAGTATTCGATCTATGCTTAAAAGTACGTGACAATATTGTCGTGTCTTCCACACATCATCACACACACAGATACCCCAAAATAGAAAAAGCAAATTATCAATTGCAACATCATATCAAAAGATATTTAATATTTATTAATATATGATTTATTACGATATTCATTAAAATCTACCTTTAGTTCCCACAAAAGAATAAAATAAAAATACGACAATATGTCACATTCAAAAATAAATTTGACACCTTCTCGCTCATAGCCTGGACTAGACTATTTGCGTACATCATTATATTGCCGAAAGAAAGTACAAATTCGAGAAAGCTGAGAATAATTTCAGACAGTCTGACCAAATATGACGATAACGAAAAAATATTTCATTAGTCATCACAGCTTTATTGTAGAGACAAAGAAAAAAAATATAAAATAATTTCTATTGCTGATTTCAACTCATTTTCTATCGACTTGTAATATCGTGTTACAATCTATATACGAGCCTCTGCAAGCAGAAGAACGCAAAATATTGAGGATATACCTTCAAACTTACTTTTTGAATCACATCTCCGCATGTCAGAAAAATTTATCGTAGTAAAACTAAAAACTCGATTGTCTTAGAAATGATGAGCATGTCAAAGTATGATGGTGAAATTATTTTTAGATGCCGTCAAAATACTGATCAAAAGATTTTTCATCAGAAGAAAAAAGTGGGGAGCACTGATTGATTTTAATCTATCATATTCAACTATGGAAATGACGCAACATAATAGATAGTATAAAAATACATATTTCTGTCGGAAGTATTCTTCATTCTATTGAGACTTTTATAAAGATTTTCGAGCTATTACGTTACGAAAATGGTTTTGCGCAGTTA